ACAGTCTTAATCAAAGTTCTTCATAAGTAGTACATGGTATTTCTGTAACACTAGGGGGTTTTACTGATTCATTCACATCCCCAGTCCCATCAATCCCCAACTTCAGGGAAACATCCCCACCTGGTGAAACAACCTTTCTCGGGGAGGTGGCCCTGGGTAGAACACATAGCGCTAAGAAGGGGAGCAAACATATTAAGAACAGTATGCCAGGTCCCTTGAAACATACGCTGTGCAGATGTTTCTTCCCTGCAGCAACTGTGTCAAGCAGCAAGGATGGACCGGCTTCCGGAAAATTCCCCTTTTTTATTTTTTAAATGATTGCGCGTGTAAATCAGTGGCCACCTCTCGGATTGGGTTGTTTAAGACTCGGAAGAAGACTGACAAGCAATGACAGCGAGCATAGCTATAAACATAGTGGATGGAGTGCACAAGGAGCCTCGTTCCTGTAGAAGGTTGCCGGCCTCTTCAGTCAAGGGATTCCAGCTGTCAAGTCGGGGGTTTGGTTGTCCTTGTTGATCTGGCTAGCGGGCGGCGTCATTGGCGATGGGCTTCCTGAAACGTCAACGCGTTGAAGGGCTGGATCATGGGGCCATCAGGGCCGTGCTTGATGGTGGTGTCGGTGTCCGGGGAGGAGTCAACTGTGCCCTCTGGGTGGGCTGATATGGAAGATGGAGGGTAGTAGAGAGAAAAAGAAGAGAAAGCAAAAGAACTACAAGGCATGGAAGTGTTTAGAATGGGAACCCCTGGACCTGCTGGGGCTGGACCCCAGCACTTTCATTCTAAACCGAGCAGCAGTCTGAGCCCCACTCCACAGATGCAGCAGTCCATCTGCTGGCGGGGCTGCGTCCCCAGGTCGGCGGGGCTGCCCGGGAAGCCTTGGGGGTTAAGGGCTGGCTGGGCAACCTCAGACTCACCGCCCAGTCTCTGGCGGGCTGGCTGCTGCTTCCACAGTGGACACAGAGCCCACAAAAGGCTTCTAAGTGCGGCCGGAGGCTTGCGCATAGCAAAGTACAAAGAGGCAGCTCACAGCTATGTCAGGAAGGAGCCCGCAGAGCGCTGGCCAGTGCAGTGCCCTCTGAACACCTCCCCAGTTCCTGGCCTCGTGGCGGGAGAGCCCTGCTCACTTCCCGCCTCGGGCCTCTCCCGGCCTCTGGACACCTTGCTTGTACCCCAGGAAGGGCCCTCCTTTCCCTGAGAAACGGCCACTGACTGTTAATTTTCCCTGGAGATGATTCATAGCAGGAATATCCGTCTCCTCCAAAGGGCATTCCTAGCACCGCCCACAGCTATGGTCTGGCTCCCGCGGCCCCCAGGGCTGGTTGCTGCTCATCTCCTTCGGTGGGTCTCAGCCTAGACAGCACTGGCGGGGCCCGATCCAGGGCCTCGCCGTGGCTGGTCCTCCACGAAGAGGAAGAAGCCAGGCCCGCCTGCTGCTCCAGCCCGTGTCTGGCTCGCGGCCTCCTGTGGGCCACCCCTGCACCGAGAGCACTGGTTCTCACTGGTTCTTAGTGCGAGGGCCAGCCCGCACTCACACTGGGGGAGACTGTCTCTCTCACTCCCCGGGCTGTGGTCCGCGCAGCAGATGCTCAGTTGACATCGCGGACAAAACCTCTAATCCAGTGATGGCGAACCTATGACACGCGTGTCAGAGTGACACGCAAACTCATTTTTTTTGGTTGATTTTTCTTTGCTAAATGGCATTTAAATATATAAAATCAATATCAAAAATATAAGTCTTTGTTTTACTATGGTTGCAAATATCAAAAAACTTCTCTATGTGACACGGCACCAGAGTGAAGTTAGGGTTTTTCAAAATGCTGACACGCCGAGCTCAAAAGGTTCACCATCACTGCTCTAACTCCTCAGTCCGGGGCTGTGCCTTGGCCTGATGCCCAGGGCTTTGCCCGGATGGTGGGCACGGACTCACTGGACTGACACGACTGAGAAGTTCCCAGGACAAAGGCAGGCTCCCGCCTGGAGACAGTCCTGATGATGGCTCAGCGGTGCAGACGCTGCTGGTAACCTCTTGGGCCACAGAGCTTGGCGCTAGGAGGGTGATGCTCTGAGCTCGCCACGCCCCTGGAGGCAGCAAGAGCACTGGCTGGGACGCCTCGAGACAGGCTTCCAGCTCAGGTTGCCAGTCGTCAACTGTGACTTTGGGCAAGTCACACGCTCCCCAGGGCTCAGGTTTCATAGCTGCAAGATGAGGAGGGCCCCTTTCCTGCCCACTGGGGCTGCCCAGGAGGAAGGCCAGTGAACATTGGTTGCACCTGTGCCCAGGCGCTGGCGGGCACAGAACCAGTCAGATCCTGGCCTTAGAGGTGCCTGCACTTCCGGGGAGTCAGACCTGCAGTAAATCTTTGCTCTGATGGCAAAAGGACCAGCTTCGATATAAAGTGTCTGGTAAACTCTAAGGCAGTGGTTCTCAACCTTCCTAACGCCGCGACCCTTCAATACAGTTCCTCACGTTGTGGTGACCCCCAACCATAAAATTGTTTTCGTTGCTACTTCATAACTGTAATTTTGCTACTGCTATGAATCGTCATGTAAATATCTGATATGCAGGATGTATTTTCATTGTTACAAATTGAACATAATGAAAGCATAGTGATTAATCACAAAAACAACATGTAATTATATATGTATTTTCTGATAGTCTTAGGTGACCCCTGTGAAAGGGTCATTCAACCCCCAAAGGGGTCGCAACCCACAGGTTGGCGACCCACAGGTTGAGAACCGCTGCTCTAAGGTGTAATCCCCGTGCAGGGCGAGTCTTCGTACAGTAGTTTTTCTCTTATTTTTACGATTGGTCTCCTTTCTGTTCACTCCCAGGCCCAGTGTATCATGACCAGCTCACAGCTCTAAACCATTCCTCCGCATCGCTCGTGGCTCCAGGAGACCTGGGGTCCCCATTGCATCGGGATCCTCGCTCGGAGGCCCAGCCGCTGTCCCTGCTTCGGTTTCTGCACTGTTCCAAGAGCACACTGGGGACACGGCGCTCTCCCCTTTCCCGGAATCAATGACAGTTACCAGAAGTGTGACCGGGGTCAGGGGATGTGAATGCGGAGGGTGCGTGTACCCGGCGGGCGGGCGTGGGGGAGGGGCGTGGAAGAGGGAAGCGCTGCCGTCCCGGTGGAGTTGAGGTTCTTACAATTTATAGGAAATCGAAAGCTAGAGGGGAAGAACCACTCAGGGCACGGCAGTTCACACCTCACCCTCAGCTGCCGTCTGTGGCCACCTGCCCTTTAGAGCAGACGGTTCTCACCTTCTTCCAAACGCTGCTTCACAAGCCAAGGTGCGTGAGGGGTGCAGGGAGGGCCCGCTGGTCTCTGGCAACCGGGGACCTCCTTTCTGCCCTCAGCAGCCCCTCTTCTCAGGACACCACGGGCCACGTAGAAAGTCCTCAGGACCCAGGAGAGGAAATGAGCATTTCTTTGCAGTTTTCTTGTCCACGTGAGGTTATTTTTGTTCCTCTTAAAACTTAAAAATTTTTTTTTACTGATTCCAGAGAGGAAGGGAGAGGGAGAGAGAGAGACAATGATGAGAGAGAATCATTGGTCAGCTGCCTCCTGCACGCCCCACCCTGGAGATGGAGCCCACAACCCAGGCCTGTGTCCTGACCAGGAATCGAACATGACCTCTCAGTTTATAGGTCGATGCTCAACCACTGAGCCACACTGGTCAGGCAGAAACTTTGAATTTGTAAATAAAATTTTAACACAAGAAACTCTTGGATTCAGTCATGTTCATAAATACATACAATTGTAGCCACACAATGTTATAGATCCCAGGAGTTTACTCCTAATTTCAGGAAGCTGGAGGAAGCGAATGCTCAGGGCCGTGGAGTCCCTGTGAGGTCATTCTCGCGCCCACATGCTTAAATTAACAGGGGTGTGTCCATCGCTCCCAGCACACGCCCCTGTCCAACCTCAAAATGAGGCACTCTGGCCCCTGGCTTCCTGTGATGCCCCGTCCCAGAGACCCCGCGCTCAGGTCTCCATCCTGCCCCTCTCCATCTAATGTCCCTCCCGGGCCAGCTGCGGTCACCTGCTAGAGCGTAAGCCAGGAGCTCAGCTCCTCCGAGGCCCACCTCGGTGCCAAGTCCGTAACGGCCACAGCTTCTCTGGTCCTTTCCCCTCTTGGGTCAGCAGCTTGGATCTGCCCCCCTTCATCCAACGCCCGCGCGGGTCAGCCACCGGCTCAGCTCTGGGCGCACAGCTGGGAAGGACACCGCGCTGGCCTCGGGGGGCCTCTCGTTGGAAAGAGGGGGATACGAACCCGCACATGTTCTTGTGCTGAGCAATGTGGTCTTACGACTTCATCGGATCTGGTAGGAGGTATTCTGTTTCCACTCGTCAGAGGAGGAAAGTGAGTCTCAGAGAGGTTATGCGAGTTCCCCAAGGTTGCCCTGCAGATGGAACCCCAGGTCTGCCTGACTCTGCCTCCCCCTCCTTGCCCACACCAGCCCCAGACAAGCAGAGCAGACGGGTGGCTCCCGCTATGGGCCTACTGCCAGGCTTCCGGCCAAACAGCGAGGTTGGCCCTGCTGACCTAGAACCAGGCATGTGTTTGGGTGCAAGGATGACCCCTGCCAGAATTCCAGCACCCGAGGCAGCCAGGGTGGTGTCCTTGCCGGCCGGGGGTGCCAGGCCCCTGGGGCACAGGGGGTTGAGAATGACTAGAAACTCTACGAGAAGCCCCGAGGGGCTGTGTGTGGCACTGACACCTGCGGGAGAGGCAGAAGTAAAACCTCTATCATCCTGTCGCCACGTCCCAGCTGACGCCTCCCCCAGAGAAAGGCCCCGTGAGGATTCATTCAGCAAATAGTTCTCAACTGCCCACCCACGGACCAGGCTTCGTTCTAGGCAGACAAGGCAGCCCAAACCCTGCCACAGGGAAGGCCGTGCTAGTGGTGGAGACAGGTGTACATGCTCAGGAAAGGAAATGAGTGTGTGGGTGTCAGATGCTGCAGGGAGCAGTGCGTGAGGAGTGGGCAGAGGTGCCCAGGGAAGGCCTTGCCCAGCAGGGCCTGAGGAGGGGAGAGTGAGTCGTGTGTACAAAGAGCAGTCCAGGCAGAGGGAGCAGCATGTGCAAAGGCCCTGGGGTGCGAGTGTACCTGGCATGTTTGGGAATGACAAGGCCAGTGTGCTAGGAAATGAAGCTCACCTGGCTGTAGGTTGGCTTGTCTCCGGAGAGGGTTCCAGCGGCTGACAGAGGATGTGAGGACTCTCAGCCTATCTCCACTCCCCTCAAGAATGTTCACTGAGGGGCCGGGGTGGGGGAGACTGGCAGGGCCTCTTTCTCCCGCAGTCTTGGCCCCGCCATCCACTCTGAGTAAACACACTTCCCCTGTGTGCTTATGCTCTGGCTCAAGCATGTCATACTCGTGGCTCACGGGCCGCATGCAGCCCACACCGAATATTTTTTGTGGCCCAGCCAATATAACGATATGTAAGAAACGTTTTAATAAAAATTTTGTAACTTAATTTTTACAATATCCTATTATACATAATTATTAATAACGAACTACACCATTCA